TAATTAATTTAATCTTAACGCAAATTTTAACTGAGTTTTTTGTTCATGCAACTTTTAACTTAACTGAATTAATTTGGTAAGTTAACTTTAATTTAATTTAGTATAAAAAAATTTTAACTTACTCAACCCTGGCAAAAACTTATAAAGCAAGAGTTTGAAAAATTATAAACAGTGGAAAACAATAGAAAATAAGATAATTGTAGCTTCCTAATGCTACTTCTTTTCAAAATTTAATGATATCATGACTAGAAAAAAACATTCATTTGTATTGTATTTGAGATATAATACAGATGTATTCTAAATAAATATGTATTACATCATATTGTTTATATACATTTGATTTTAGGTCTTACTGCATGGCTTGATATACGTGGCTGAGGGTAAAGATTTGCCAGAATCCAATACCTATCTGATATGTAGAGCGTTTTGGCGAGAAGATAAAGCAACGAGTCAAATTTGCAATAATACAAAAAATCCATTTTATCATTTTTTTCAAGTAAAAACTTTCTCCTTTATCAAAATAATTTTAATTGTACGAAAGTGAGTTTTACCTTCAAAAATATTTGTTCCAGCTGATACCTTTAGTTCATGGTACGGAGTTATTGGAAAGAATCAAAGATAATTATATAATTATAGAGGTATACAATCGACAAAATAGTGGAACAGATAATCTGTTGGGAATAGCAAAGCTACCTGTGCATCAATTATACATCGCATATAAAGATCCACTTGTTTTACCTCATTTATTATTGTCGAAGGTAATTATTAATAATTGCATCTTAGATACAGTTTTTAACATAAATTTTCAATTATATAATTTTTATGTTTTCACACAGTATCCTGTAATAAGTGTAGATGGCTGGGTTAATATTAACGATCCAGTGAGTGGGAAATTTTGCGGAAAGCTGCTTGCACTGGTCGCACTTGGTACTGTGGAGCAAATTGCACTACTGGAAGTATCAAGAGGTCTGAGAAATACTAATAATGTATCGCGAACAGATTATAGCTATCAATGCTATAATCCTGACAATATCAACAATGCAATTGGCTGTCAAGGGAGTTTACAGTATAATGTTCCTGAGGTGCCAAACCTCAATTCGGAGCAATCCACTCGTGGTAATTTTGCGTATAACGTTCACAATATGCTCAATCGAAATTTGGCATCTGTTGATTGTAAGTCTCAAGAAAGTCAAACAGATATTTCTAGCTTCAAAGATATGAGGCTACAGGAATCGATGCACGAAGCTGTACCTTCAGAACACTTAGCTTTGCGCGCCTTGGTTGATCGTTTGACGAATGTATTACATACTAATAAAATCAGTACAAATCAATCGGCTCAAACGGAGATAAATCAAGTAGACGAAGGTGAAGAACACAGAGAATTATGCCTGAATACGCAGAATAGTAATAGCCTTGCTGATGATAGTGAAAGCTGCAATCCAAAAAACGACTTTCGAACGGACTTACCTACGGAAATGTACAGAAGTGTCGGTGTTGGTGCTGAATATGATGAGGACTTGGATCAACAGCGAAATAACGCCTATAAGAATCTTTCCGACTCGTCGTTAATGGAAGAAAATGCACAAAAACTAGAATCAAATATTAATTGGAACAATTCTAACAATCCGTTTTTCCGTTCTGTCGTTGAAATCGAATGTGCACTGCATTTACCAAAGATCAAAGGATTGAACGAATCGATGGAACCCAGTACATATGTAACCTTTCAAGATGTAACTCGTAAACTCGATTCTACTGATCAGTTAAATTCATACATAGTCACAAATGTTTATCCACATAGTTGCAATCCGAAATGGAATTGGAGATGCGATGCGAAGCTATCAACAGACTTACTTTTAAACGTATGTAATTTCATTTTCGTATTTCAAATATGTTCTAGTAAATTCAATCCACGATGTAACTTGACATAATCTTTATCTACTTTTAATTCTACGTTTTTTTTTTCAGAATCAAAAAAGATTAATTCTCAAAGTATGGCATTTAACTGATCCAGATGCGTCTAAAGATATTAATTTAAGAAGAGACATTGTAATTGGTTTTTCTGCTATTGATCTCTCGGTTTTAATGGCTGGATTTCCTACAGTATCCGGATGGTTTCATATCATGGACTTTACTGGAAAATGCAACGGACAGATTAAAGTAAATTTTTATGATAATACTATCCTACCTAAAGATATTTAAGGAGTCTCACCATTCCTGAGGTTTTAAAATGATATCTTAAGTTTGGAATTTTTTGTGGGTAAATGGTTTACTTTATTTAAAATCTGCTTAGAGGACGTTATTTTGCATATATAAGAAATCCAAAAAATATTTTTTTGTTTTTCTTATGTCAAAAATGGCGGGGCGCCCTGGCCTACACTTGCGGAATCCCTTTTTTTCTATCAGTGTACAGGATTCCAGGTACACGGATTGACTTTGAACAAAACAAAAGAATTTTTATTACATCTACATATTAAAGACTAGAGAAGACTACGGAAGATTTGTATTGACAAAAATATGAATTTTTCGTAAAAATAGCTGCCATTTCGAGAAAAATAAATATTTTAAAAAACCCTTACGTACTTCTCTAGTCTTTAATATGTAGATAATAAAAATTTTTTGTGTTTTCAAGATCAAACCGCGTGTCTGGAATCCTGTTGAATCACCGATTTGAAAAAACAGAAAGTCACTATTTTGTACATAAAAAATAAAAATTTTGTTTTTAGTTTCTTATATATGAGATCGGA